GCGCGTCATCACACCCACGGCGGGATACCAAACAAGGGCAAAGAGGCGGAGAGTGGGCGGAGCTACATACACTGCTGGCATTTTGCTTGGACCTGGTTCAGACACACTTTACTTTGGGAGAAATGCTTAATACTTTATCACCTGCGACTCGTTTGTGTTCTGACCACTTGTGCTTGGCTGTACACTACATCAATAAAGTGTTTAGACTTTTAAAAACACTGCTGTAATACATTGAGCCACTAAACATTGTTCTTATGATGTTTTTCAACAGGAGGAAAACGCAAATTACTTCCAAACACTTCAGATATAGTCTGTGTTAGTTAATGTGAGACTATTGATGAAATCCAGCATAACACTGTATGACAACACTTCAGATGACTGTTCTAGAGCCCACAGCTAATCAATCCGTCAGATTCTGCAGTGCATTACAGCTCTAAACATAAATATAAACGATAAATAATAAAACACATACATGTATAGAGATGGTAGATTAGTATATAACTTTACTCACATCGGAAACGGAGGCCACGTGAATGGTTTGTGAGCACAATTAAGTGCACTCAGCATGCCATGCCATCTAATAATTGTAGGAAACAAGTCCAAAAGGCAGTTGACTGTGTAAAGCCACATAAAACAACACAGAAATACGATGAATATGCCGAGATCAGCGGCTAATCTGCAGGATTCAGCTGAGGCGACCAACGAGACCTAGCTGTCACTCAAGTGGCCACGCCCTTAATTATGCAAACTTAATATAACCTAATATAAAGGAAACGGATGAGTTATAAAAAAATTCACCCCCTCACAGCTGTCATGAAGGGTAATATTACCTGTATTAACCAAAATCTTTTCTTGTAGCAGGCTGTAAACACCTTTTTTTCTGCTGTGAAGTTGGCCATTCTAACAGTGGGCTCAATTGAAATTTGCTCTGTTTTGGAGCCAGGAGTGGCCAGGACTAGCGGAATATCAGATGAATTGCAGTTTTAGTGACTTCCGTATTGACTTCCCGAGGGAGAGCGGGAGGTTGCTGCTTGGGTAAACCGGAGCCCCCGGAGAACATGCAAACTCCACTCTGAAATGCCAACTGACCCAGCCGAGGCTCGAATCAGCGACTTGTTTGCTGTGAGGTGACAGTATGACCCACTGTGCCGCTGTCATATAGCCATTATAATAATAACCAAAACGTATTCATTGATTTTCCTTCGGCTTAACCCTTATTTATCAGGGGTCACCACAGTGGAATGAACCGCCAACTATTCCAACATGCGCATCCCACAACCCAGTACTAAGAAAACAGTAATACTCTTCAATAATAAAGTGGGATCTGTCAATATGAACATGTGAAGTGAGATCAGAAGCGAGGGGAGGGATGTTTCTGGAGCTTTGAGGAGGTTGTGTGTTAAGTGCTTGTGGCTAATTTGAATGAGATCAGATCAGATCAGATGAGATCAGATCAGTATTGTTTGTAGAGTCAGCTGCTCCTGCTCTGGCGCTCCTCAAGACTCCACATGCTTTTCCAGACGTCATCGCTTGCGCAAGAGTTCAGCAGGATCATGCTTTAATACAAGTGTTGACGCACAAAACTGATTTACATTCAGAACTCAAGGCACAACAGCACTCGCAAACACTCACACACAAGCACAAACCTCTTAAAGAGATAGTTCACCTGAAATATTAGGTGTGTGTATGTATATATATATATATATATATATGTGTGTGTGTGTGTGTGTGTGTGTATGTGTGTGTATTTACAAATGAGGGTGTTAGTGTGTTTTAATTGTGTATGCGCTGTAATTGTGTGTATGTTTGTTGTGTAATTATGTGTTTAATTGTGTTTGCGCGCGCATGTGTGTGTGTATGTATGCACATGTATAGGTGTGTGTGTTTACATTGTGTCTGTAATTGTGTGTGTGTGTGTGTGTGTGTGTGTGTGTGTGTGTGTGTGTGTGTGTATTTATGGATGTGTGTGTGTGTGTGTGTGTGTGTGTGTGTGTAGGTGTGTGTATACAATTGAGGGTGTGTGTGTGTGTGTGTGTGTGTGTGTATGTGTGTGTGTATTTACAATTGAGGGTGTTAGCGTGTTTTAACTGTGTATGCGCTGTAATTGTGTGTATGTTTGTTGTGTAATTATGTGTTTAATTTTGCTTGCGTGTGTGTGTGTGTGTTTTTGTGTGTGTTTGTGTATGTATGCGTATGTATAGGTGTGTGTGTTTACATTGTGTGTGTGTGTGTGTGTGTGTGTGTGTGTGTGTGTGTGTGTGTGTGTTTGTGTATTTATGGATGTGTTTTTGCCTTTTTGTGTGTGTGTAGGTGTGTGGTATAAATGTGTGTATGTGCTGTGTAATTATGTGTGTTTAATTGTGTGTGTATGTGTGTGTGTTTCCATTATGTGTGTGTTTGGGTCTAATTGTGTGTATATTTAATTGTTTGTGTGTGTACAATTGTGTATGTGGCTTAATTGCATGTATGTGTATTTTGTAATTGTGTGTGTGTGTGTGTGTGTGTGTGTGTGTGTGTATGTGTGTGTGTGTTTTTATTATGTGTGTGTTTGGTTCTCTGTTTGTGTATATATAATTGTGTGTGTGTGTTTACATTATGTGTGTGTAATTGTTGTCTGTGTGTGTGTTTACACTTGTGTTTGTGTCTGTGTTTATGCATGTGTCATGTAATTGTGTGTTTGTGTGTTGTGTAAATGTGTGTGTATGTTTGTACGTTTGCATATGGCTGCTGTGCAATATAGCGTGTGCATTCGTATGTGTTGTGTAATTGTGTGTGAGTGTATATGTGTGTGTGTGTGTATTAATGGGGTTTAATTGGTTGTTTATGAGTTGTGTAATTGTGTGTGTGTGTGGGGGTGCTTGCTTTGTAATAAATTCTGTGTGTGCCTGTTTGTGTGTTGTGCAATCGTGTATGTACGTGGTTTAATCGGATGTGCGTGTGTGTGTGTGTGTTGTGTAATTGATGTGTCTGTTGTATACGTAAATGGGTACTGTCAATGCCTAATTCAGTATGTGTGTTTGCTTGTGTGTATATTTGTTGTGTAATTGTGTGTGTATGTGTTGTTTTATCGTGTGTGTATATGTTGTGTAATTGTGTTAGTGAGTGTCGTTTAATTGTGTGTGTGTGTGTTATGTTTGTTTGTGTAATTGTGTGTGTGTGTGTTTGTGTGTGTGTGGCAAATGTGGCCTGCAGATCTCCACCAGAGACATTAAGCAGACGCACACACACACACACACACTTGTCTTCTGCTGTGCGTCAGCTGATTCGCTCTCTGTATATTTGAGTTGGTTTTATGAGGCAGTTTGTGTACTCGTCTGTGAAATGAATAATACGAGGTGTGTGTGTGTGTGTGTGTGTGTGTGTGTG